TGTATTGTATAATAGCTGGCAACTTTTAATATAGTAAAGCAGCGTTTTTGACCATTCATTTTCATTATCTTAATATGGTCTGACTCTGACATAAAAAAACGCCCATTTTATTGTATTTCGTCATCATGGCCCTTCAGCTCTGCCAAAATGAATATTTGCAATCCTGTTTGCAGCTGCATTTCCACTGTCAGCAAGGCAGTCCTGTCATTTAAGCGCTGTGGGTTTGTTGGATGTATCAAGCGGGTTAAAGAAGCCGCGATATCCATCTGAACGGACACCGATCACTGCCCCTATGGAAGGTCCTCGTCTGAGAAAGTCCTCAGCGAGCCGCCCACAGCATACGGCGGTACTGTCCACAATGACCCAGGTGAGTAAACGTTGGCTGGCCGTTTTAGGTAGACCTTTTGCCATAGCTAAGCTTACAACGAATCTTTAAATATTAGTATTATCGTTTTTTCATGAATAGAGGGTACATGTTAGCCAGCTGGCTAGTTAGTATTTGATACAGCTGCTGAAGCCGTCCTGCTAAGGTTAGCTAGTGCTGAACAGTCGTGCTAACTACGGGAAACAGCGGTCGGTGCTGCACGGCATTAACGTAGATTTAAAGATTTGTCTGTATTGGCTGAATATAGCGAATTAAAAGCTTATTAACGAAGGTAACGGTCATTTTATTTCCCTTAATTCAGTGTGATTGATGGAAACGGTCCTGATAAAAGCTAAGCTCGCTAGCTAATACTATTGATTCATCACCACAACACACGTTTTCTGACATTAGCTATTTCTGTTGTTGCCCCGTATAAGTATTTGCTAATAACTTCTTAGAAACACCACATAATCATTATAGTAAAACGCTAACGTGAATAGCAGCTGTATATTGTGAATGTACTGCTCCATATAGCGTCTGCGTCGGTGTTCATCTTGGATTTTTGCGCGGGCTCATTTGTAAAAGTTAGCCGTTAGCTATATTGAGCTACATTAGCTATATTTACAGAAGCTTGTAGTCACATACATGAATAGCTCGAGGCTCATTTTAAAACTGCCAGGAGCATATTTTTACTTTGAAACGAAGTACCACAATTAATGATTATTTTACAATATTTGAAAGTAGCTAGCTTATGCAGCTAGGTAATTTGAGCAGCTAACGCTAGCTAGCTAGCTAGCTTATTTTTTTATACAGCTGCAGAAGCTACAGCTGTGTTTCTAGATGTTGGTGGAGAGTGGAAATGTGGCAGTCATTCTGATGCTTCGTTCATTAGCTTTGGCTACACAAGTTGAAATCATTAGTGAGTTTTTATTAGACAATGAAATAACAAACAAATATTTGTTTCAGAAGCTGACTGGATTTGTCTGTGTGCCACAACAACATACTGGCAGTGGTCAAATAATGCACACAAGTTATAAAAGTAAGTATTATCACAAACAGAATAGAACGTAATGTGTTAACAATTTATGTACAGGTTTCCTGGTTATCAGTTGCCACACTCATTTTATGACTAAGAACCTGTTTAAAGGAATGGTTCAGCAAAATATAAAATTTAAACAATTTTCTGCTTACCCCCAATGTAGTCTTTTGGCCAAGACATAATTGGTGTCCAAAGTTTGTGTCTTTAGTTTAGCAATGGAGCTGTGAAGCTAACATTTCTAACAAACCCTAAAAGTCAATATTCACCTAAATCATTTCATGTCTTCATTAAGGTGGCGCAGACTTCTCAATGTGGTGTACAACACAATATGACATACTGTGGGCTATAAAAGTGAACAAAACATCAAAGAGTAAGTGCCGTGGGTGACCTCTCTGTCTCAGGAGTAGGATTGCTGATCTAGAATCGTTTTTTATGAAAATGACAGTCATAATTACTGATCCAACATCAGTCCTGTGCAGCCTTTGTGTTGCCTGAAATGGCCGTAGTGGGGAGGTTTTGTTAATTTCTATAGTTCAAAGTAAGTCATTGTGTGTCCTACACTACACTGACATGTCTGCTGACTCTAATGGAGACCTAGATGAGGTTTGAGAGGATTGAGAGAAGTTTCAGGGATGTTTTTATGGAAAAACATAGTTAATATTGTCTTCTAGTGTTTGAGCAATGTTACATATAACACCAGTACTAATCTAAAGAAGCAGAATCATTAATTGTAGTCATTTCAGTCAAATTTGATATTGGAATTTGTAAGGCATATAAAAAAGTCAAATTATAATACTGAGCTTTTCTGTGATGCTTCGTATGTTATACAGCTGCATTCTGTACTATTTACTACCCAGTTCGTTCTTTGGACTGTGCTTTATTCTTTTAACAAATAAACACTGACCAAAATAAGAGAGAGGCTTTTCAGTTTCCAGCAGTCTAGTATAGAGTTTAGAAATCTCATGGGTCTTAGGAGAATATATAAAATTAGAGACAGTATATAAAATTAGAGACAAGCTCAAGCCCTTTGCATTTAAAAGAACATATCACAACATCACTACTTCGCAGTTGTTTAGAAGCCCACTGAAATAAACATTTAAAAATAACTAAAAAAAAGATGACTCCTTATTGGCTACATTTCAGACAGGAAAATATTATTTATATTATATGGAAACATATTTCAGATTTGAAAGGTTTAAATATATGTGAATTAAAAGCTGTCAAAGGCCTTGTGGCATTGTGAATATTAACTGATAAGTAAGACTAAATAAGTAATAAGTATGATGTTAGAATGGCTTTCACCTTCCACAGATCTGTCTGTTTTTGCCAGGAGATTTTAATGATTTGTGTGTGCATTAATTGTAACAGTCTTGTTTGTATTTTATATCAGCTGCAGTTCTGAAGTGGAACAACAAAGCCACAGCTCATGAGATGGACGCTGCCATGGCCGATCACCTCAAGCACGCCCCCTGCAGAGCTTTTTACTTTATTTTTTTTTCTTTTCTTGTTTGACTTCTCAGAAACTAAAATGCAAGATTTTGTGTTGTTAATTAATCACCTTGATTTCCTTTACATTAAAACATTGAAAATCTTATACAGTACTGACACAGCTTATGGTTCAAAGGTGAAAATTCTTTCTGAATTGATGCATAGGATCTTTGTCATAGTCCTGACGAAGTTCATGGTCCAGTTTTATGTTCCACAAATGAAGTTAAGAATAACTACACATTTTCAATAAGGTTTCCATTTAACAAAGTTTGTTTTATGTTTACATTGGAATCAAAATTGTTAGTTAACTACAGGAAGATTCTTTGCATGGTGAAAATGTTCTTTACATTAACCGAGAATGTGTTGTATATGGTTCTATATAAAAAATTCATTCTATATAGCACCAAAAAAGGTTCTTCTGCTGTACAGTGTATTAAGCATGAAATGGTTCTATATAGGATTCATGGTAAAGTGCTATCTTTTTTTGAGAGTGTACTAGTGGAAATTAATTTTGGATGACTTTTCAATGCCTTTTAATGTATAATTTATAATTGTTACGTCTCCTAGGGGTAAGACGCACAAAGAGGAAGCAAGACTGCCCGCTCAGACGCCAGACCAGAACAAAAAAACCAAAAAAAAACAAAAAAAACCTTCTAATTAATAAATAATAATAATAATAATAATAATCACATCAAATACGGATTTAACAATTTATTCAATGCTTTTGCACTTTGCACTTCATCAAAATTATTTTCAGCTTGCGACTGAACAAGAAACCAAAAAAAAATAATAATAAGGGAAACATAACTTCAGGGAGGCCCAAGGCCCAAAACAACAAACAAAAAAACCTAATATAGAAAAATAACTAACTAAACTAACGCACAAAAGAAAATTACAAAACCACTAACCTCACTACACTACCAATAAAAAATGACCAACATATCAAACAAAAAGGGCAGGCCACCCCTACATTCCCTTTCTAAACAAAAGAAACACATTTACAAAAATGTCTTCACTGGCTCACACGTACCGGTAGGCCAGCAAATCACCAACAATAACTGGTCTGTCGACTGGCGGGCAGCCAGGAGAGCGGAACCATGCTATGCCAAATAAAAACCGCTCTCTCTTGATCCATCACCAAAGGCCTTTTATAACCGGCGCCAACTGGAACAGCCAATCACATGTCGGGAAAAACGAGACGTCAGTCATACAGCAACGTCCACCTGAAAACACTCAGACAGAGAAAAAGGAAAAGGCCAGACACAAGACGTAACAATAATTTTTTCCAAGGCCTTAGAACACCTTAAAATGACGTTTTTACTGTGACTTTTTTGGTCGTCTTTTCAACAGTTGAGCTTGGACGTCTTTTCAACTTTCATTTTCAACCATAAGAAAACGTAAATTAAACAGCAGTTATGTACGTGATTTCAACGGCTAAGTTTAGACGTCTTTTTTTAACTTTCATTTTGAACCTTAATAAAGCGTAGTTTAAACGGCAGTCAGACACGTGATTTCAACGTTGTTTCAACGGCCAAATGTTTACTGGGGATGGTTCTATATAGAACCTTTTTGAAAAGGTTTTTATATAGCACCAAAAAGGGTTCTTGGTACAAGCTTGACATCATAACAACAGAAGAACCCTTTTTGGTTCTATATAAAAACCTTTTCAAAAAGGTTCTATATAGAACCACATACAGCACGTTATCCATCAATCTGAAGAACCCTTTTTGGTTCTATATAAATGTATCTATATAGAACCACATACAGCACATTATCCATCAATCTGAAGAACCCTTGCCAAGAAACCTGAAATCATGCAAATGGTTCTTTGAGTGTTCATGGTTCTATATAGAACCATCCACTTTACTAAAGAACCCTTGAACCATCTTTTTACTTTTGTAAGACTGTGGTGTTTCAGTGGGAGCAGTGAATAAAGTGACATCTGCATTTAAATCTGTGAGAAATAAAACTTTATTGGTAAATAAGGTTAGAGGTGCCCAGTCAGTGACCGTGGCGCTCCTGCATCAGTGATATTTAAGGAGAAACAGAAGAGCAACTGCTCCCGTTGACTGAGAATGTCAGTGTGAACTCCTCCACTTCAGGCACTTTTTAGACGCTCCCTTAAACGCAGCCACGTTTCCAATCATTCATCGTCCGTGAAAAAGCCGTTTTTGACTCAGTATACTCGGCTGTAGTTGTTTGTCTGTCTTCTCTGCAGTAGATCATACATGTTATGTCTAATAGACGATAAACTGAACAGATAAAGTTGACCATCCTGTCCAGTTTATCCAGTTTCGTTTTTCTCCTGGACTCCTGCTCTCTGTCTCGCGCCTCTTCCGGGAGTTTCCGGTGAGCTGGTGGGGTTCAAAGATCTCTGCACCTCCGGATCTACAAACTCATTAAAGCTCATTAACCTGAACACTAGTGTCTGAAACAGAGCTGATTAAGGCTCTCAGTGGTCTCAGTGATCAGTGAGCAGGTGGACTCTGGATCTGTAGATCATCCTGAAGCTCTTATTCAGCTACGCCTCAGTGGCTCCACACGAAGGTAGGCAGTGATTAAACTCTCTATCCGGTATATAAGACACTATTGCGCTCTATAAGCTCGGCAGAAAACACAGTTCATCATGTTTCAGTCTGCGTTTCTCATTTTCATACGTTTGAATAGTGTTAAGACTTTTTTACCTGAGTTTAGTAAAAGTGAAAGTGAAATGGTGGGAGTTCAGAGTTGTGTGTGTGTGTGTGGGGCGGGGGGTTAATGTGTAGAGTATATCACAGTGGTCTGTCCTGAGATCGTTGCATGTAAAATAATTTTTTTTTGCTTGTGTGAGCTATTCATTATTTTGAATGCGGTTAATATTCAGTACTATTTAAGCGTATCTTATCTGATCTTGTGTGTTTTAGTCCTTATTGACCTTTGCTACTATAACTGGTTTAGCCACTCCCAACATGTGCTTTAATCTTTTGGAAACATGATTAATGTTTTACTGATACGCTGTGGAGACAAACTACTTTCTTAGTCCCAAACCTAAAAAACAACAACAGTAAATTTAGTACAGTGAGTATTTGTACTGCACTGGCCTTTGAGTGACCTCGTTTTGCATATATTTTTCCACTGAAAACAGCTCTGCAGTACTGCAGCTCCCCCTGGTGGTGGTTTGGGTTTGTTACTGTTTCTGAGTAGATGCATCTGTGATTATCACAGTTTTGTTAATAAAGGGGAACTCCATCCACTTTTTCAAACTGCTGCATAATTGAATGACTAACATGTTAACAAAGTCATTCAGAGTGGTTTGGCTCTGTTCTAGAGAACCTTACAAAGTCAGAACTGTTCACAGTGGTGGTGATAGGAACCAGAAGTCCACCTCTAAAAGAATCAGCCACTGGTCACCTGTTAAACCATTAGGATCCTTTAAACTGTGATATCAATCAATTAAAAAAAGCCAAAACACATTACAGAACCATTAGAAACCAACAGAAACACAATGTTTTTTTTTTTCAACAGGAACTATTTTACCATAATTAGTACTACAAATAAAAACTCAAAGGACTCATGTAGGTTCACTGGTGGTTTTGGATGGTGAATAAAATGTCTATATTTGTGTTGTAGTCATGGCGACCCCTGGTTTTTATCTCCACCACTGTAAAGAAATCTGAACCTTTTCACACCAAACCACTCTGAATCACTCTGATTACTTTTCAGCCACTGAATCACACAGAAATTTAGAAAAATCAGTGGAATTCCCCTTTAGTGTTTCTTTATCAAATGGATAGTTCTGCTCCTAAAATCCGATGCCGCATTGAAAGCCAGTGTAAAATATGTGCAAACCTGGCCGCATCACAACAACTGGATTCTGTATTAATGCGCCGAAGTCACTGAAAACACTGTGCTATGAATGGACCGTTAGCTATAGCGCTAACATCAACCACCAACTGGAACCTGGTTTTGTTTCAACTGAGGTAACAACTAGGCTAAAACATAGCAGGCTAAACAGGCTAAATGATAGCTAACAAGCTCGTCCATTAATAGTTAGTGTTCGGCTGTGAATTGAAGTATTTAATTATAATGAACAGTAAAGAGTGTTAAATGTCTATCAGGTGTCAAATGTGTGTGTTTTTGGTACATCTACCTCACACAGTGTTAAACTCAGTGTGGAAAAATGAATGTGTGGAACCGTTAGCTTCATGCTAACACAACACAGAATATTGTGGGATAGGTGCTAGTGGTAGTTAGCATTGTCCCTGCTGTGGTAATTTGGTGAGCAAAAACTACTTTTAAGACAAAAGTTTCAACATTAAATGCCATTTTATTATATTTGCAGCATTTTATGACATAAAATAAAAAAAAAGACTATACAATGGTAGGTGGCTCAACATCTATTGTTTGGCAACAATAGCCTTTTGAAATGAATTACATGTATTCGCAGATGAATAGTTTATTAGGATTATTATTAATTACAGCTTGAATTATTTATTGAAATGTTGTGTATTTTGTCATAATTAATGTTATCACCATTTCATAAAAGCAAAAAGGCACAAGTAATTTGACCTCCCACATCTGCACAGTCATCTAAAAGTTAGACACTTCAGTGTCCATTGAACTAACCCAGTAATAAACACTAACTGATATTGTTTTCCATTTACAGTGATGCTTCTTCTGTTGCTGATATTTGATCTTCTCAGCTGTTCAAATGCAGGTAATTCATTAATGTCACCCTCAGCAGCATCACTATCATCCTAAACCCTTACAATCTTTTTACACCTGGTCATTTCATGCGACTTCAATCTGGGATATAACCTGATAAGGTTTTAACCACATGCATCTATATTTGGTAATCAGTTGTGTCTCTGATTAGTCCGATTGACATTTGATTGCTGCATGGGGAGTAATATGCAGGTCAGGTCATATACAGCGATAAGTTACCTAGTTTGTACTTCATTTTTCCTGTTCTGTTTACAAGATGGTTGCCGCTTCGAAAATCACCATTTTGCATTATGTTATTCGTTTATTATTATTATTATTGTTATTTGACTGTCTGTTTAAAATAATTAGTATTGGTCATTGCGGTGATGGTGACTGAACAATTTGGTGAAAATAATCAGATCTAATTTTTATCATGAATATTGCGATTGGAGTTTAAATGCAATTATTTTCTGTACATTAAGATCAGCACATTGTTTGGACTTGAGGCTTGAATGCTGAACGTAGTCTGTAAGATGAGCTCTGTGGTATTAGGTTAAATTTCTCCAATTGAAACTTGTTAAGATAATGTTGAATAATGTGAAGTTTGGTTGAAGCGTAATGTATGGTAGCAAGACAGTGAATAGTGATGATGCATAGTAATGGTTAACCAAGCTGTTGCTTTATTTTTAAGTAGCTCACGCCACTGAACACTACTCAGTCAACTCAGAGGAGACACTCCAGAGCTAAACTAAAGGAGCAGTGAAGCCTCTGTTTAGTAGCAGCATTACAGTGGGTGTTTTTTCCCCATAGAACAGGAGAAGGAGGTGTGGTCACAGTACTCAGAGGGGTGTCTAATGTGGCTTGGTGTGACAGATGCATTTAGAGTTGTATGACAACTGGCTAATATGCATCTCCTGAAGTGGTTTGAGTGAGTGGACCTAAACCGGTTTTGAATATGTCTTGGTTGCATTTACACTTGCATTTTTATGTGGATAAGCACTATTTAGATATAAACCTGATGCTCAAGATGTATGAAGTGACCAGGTATAAACAAGGTTTTAGGGTTTTCATTGTCATTTCGTTTCATTTTTTTTTATTTTCACATTTCAAAATTTCAGAATGTTTGGATTTCAAATTATACTTTAACAAAAATAATCTGCCTCTTTTAGATACCTTCTCTTTGGTGGTTCCTGATGACATTATATCAGGACATTTAGGATCTTCTGTTGTTCTGCCATGTGAACTTTCTACTATGTTGGACATTAGGAGCTATGAAGTACGCTGGTATCGACCCAGTAAATTCGACAACCCAGTTCTGCTGTACGGAGAGGTCCAGGAGAACACTGGAGATCCTCAGTACAGAGGCAGAGCGTCTCTGATTGGAGACCTGCAGAAAGGGAACGTCTCTCTGAAACTGGAGAACCTCACAGTAGCAGACAGAGGAGAATATATGTGCTATGTTAAAAGTTATAAATGGTATGAAAAGGCGAGCATATTTCTCAGCCTTCCAGGTAAAGATATGGTGTAATATATAAACATGAGCCTCATCAGGATGCTTTGGTTAACCTTGACCTGTCACTAGTATTTCTTCACACTTTATTCATATCACTAATAGTAAAATTTTAAATTGTTAAAGGTTGCATCTGTTTAAATATGTTTTATCCATTTTATTTATATTAAACTTATTTTTACATTCTGATTCAGTTATAACAGCTTTACTCAATGCTATATTCTGTTCTTTACTTTAGTGGTTGGATCTCCTCTTCTTCTCTCCTTTGCTGGAGCTGGAGAACAGGTGAATGTGACCTGTGCATCAGGTGGATGGTCACCTAAGCCCACCCTCACCTGGAGAGACAAAGGAGGAAGAGAACTCACAGACAGTGTTAATTATGACTACACAGGTTTGTAAATACCATTATTCCAATATGCTGTTAAGGCCAAAACAAAACAAGAAAAAAAATGGCAGTTGCTGTTCTTTATTCTGCTCTTTCATGTTAATTACAAATGTGTTACACAGTGTTATTGTTGCATTTGTTTGCTATTTAAAAAAGCAAATTCATTGTTTATTATTAGTTTGCATTCCAAATGACCTTGGACAAGAAAATGTGTAGAAAGAAATATACCTAATCAGTGTTTTATTATTAATCTGATTAAAGAAAAAAAATCAATAATAAGCACTTACCGACCTCTGTTGTGTTCTGAATGTGTGTATGTGCCAGTGGTGGCTTAGCCAGATTTTCACTTTAGGGGGGCCTAGTTTTAGTTTGAGGGCATTATATTTTACATGCCACTGAAAAGTTTTAAAAAGTGTTTATTTTAACTTGAAGGTGACTGCAGACATGTTTCATAATGTTTAACATTTAATGTAATCCAGCAAATATTGGACAGTTGTAGTGACATCTAGCTAGATCAACAACCCAACTGCTCCACCTCATGAAGGGCTCCACAATCAGTTGATGAGCTGGATCAATGTAGAGACAAGGAACACTTGAAACTGTGCAGGGCTGCGGTTTGCCAGGTACAGGATTAAGAAATTGTGGTGTGGAATATAGCATTAATTACATATATATAAGTAGGATTGCGCCATAGGCCTAACATGGCCTTGTGTTTCGCACGTGGGCTAAATCAATTCCCTTATATCTGATGCATCAAAAGTGGAATACTTAAGATGTAACGGATTGAGGATCTGCTGCGTTTTCGGTGTCATCTGAAATGTGACTGAAACGTTCCTGACTCAGCCACAGTCAGTTAAAATGGTTATGACAAAACTAAAAATAAAACCTGAGGAAGAATTTTACCTGGTATGTCGCTCACTACTAGTACAGCTAGTGACTGTGCCAAGGCTCCAGAGTTCTGAGGTTTCATTATAAGGAAACTTCCTTCCTTACTCAGTGGTGTAGAAGATGACTGTAACATGACAGAGTGAAAATCTCTGAGAAAAGCTACGTTAACTGATATCATTCCTTCGTAAAACTGGGCCTTTTCTAATGACTACTAAACCTATACATTGTTGCGCTCTCTCTCTCTCTCTCTCTCTCATTAAGACTCTGAAAGGTTGGTCAGTGTGAGCTCTTGGCTGCTTCTCTCTCCCTCTGAGTCAGAGTGGATCTCCTGTTCTGTGGGTTTATCTGATCAGGAGATGAGAGAGAGCAGAGTTCTACCACTCAAATCTGTTCATCAATCAGCCACAAAAACTGATTCAACAACAGAACCAGGTAAAGGACATAGTGCTCCTCCTGAACTGGTTCAATGATCCTCTTAAAGCGTTAATATTTACTTATAATGTGTTATATTTGATCAGGAGTTTCTCCAGGATGGAAAGTTGCAACCATATTACTGCTTATCAGTCTGTTGGTTCTCACTGTAATGACAATCATCTTCCTCAAGTTTAGAGGTAGGAAATGTTCACTTAGCAAATCTTAATTAAAAGTCTCACACTGTCAGTCTAACTTTTGGAACTTTCTGGAATGCAGGTCACATTTTCAAGAAAGGCACAAAGTCCACACCAGCAGGTAAGACTCAGTATGATGATGTGAGGAGGCTAAAATAGTCATTTAATTGTTTTCCTTGTAGAAAGTATCGCTTTGTAAAATGTATCTTATTGTTTAGCCACTAGCTCTTAATTGGTATATAGAATTATTTAAAGTTTTTGTGACCTCAGGGTGGAAATATTGTGGATGATATTTTTCTCCTTTCTTTTTACGGTCATTGAGAAGAGGAAGCATGTCGTCTTGTTGGTGAGTAGACGTGGTCAGCGTGGCTCTAATTAACCTCGTCTTTGTCCTGTTTTTGCTCAACTTCAGTGACTTTGTTGGAAACACTGGTTCACTGTATAATGTGCAGTGGACAGTTTACTGTCACTACGATGTCCATTTTGAATTTTATGCCGAAATCATATCATCAGGCTATACCAGAATGTTTGTTTTTGTAACCCAGTTGTCTGCATGTTTATTGAAAATGCTACAATCCTGTTATCTTTGTCAGTAAATGCATCATTTGCAGTTGTTGATGTCAAACTTTACTAGAAACAGACTTTACTGATTATCCGGATATCTGAAATAAACATAAACATGTACTTATATATGTAAATATTGATATGACATTTCATGATGATAATAGCAATATTAATGATAATAATAATAATAATAATAATAATAGTTAAAGGTATACACCAATCATCCCTAAACACTACAACCACCTCATTTTTTCTACGCTCATTGTCCATTTTATCAGCTCTACTGACCAAATAGTTTCACTTTGTAGTTCTACAGTTACAGACTGTAGTCCATCTGTTTCTCTGATACTTTGTTAGCCCCCTTTTACCCTGTTCTTCAGTGGTCAGGACCCCCATGGACCCTCACAGAGCAGGTACTATTTGGGTGGTGGATCATTCTCAGCACTGCAGTAACACTGACGTGGTGGTGGTGTATTAGTGTGTGTTGTGCTGGTCTGAGTGGATCAGACACAGCAGTGCTGCTGGAGCTGGAGCACCTATATAGTAAGTGGAGCTGATAAAATGGACAATGAGCGTAGAAACAAGGACATAATGTTATGCCTGATCGGTGTATATCATTATATAAAATACTTTAAAGGAAGCAGAAATGTAATAAACTACAGATACTGTTTTAATAGCTTAATAACTTTGCTGACTTAGAAACAGCTCACACAGAAACACGTCCAGATAAACAAGGTACATTTACACAGTCTGGATTTACAGTTTTTGACTAAGTGTGGTTGATGAAGAAAGTCAGGTTGTGCTTGTTTTCTCTACAAAGTTGCATAGTTAGCACTGCTAATTCACAGCAGAAGCTGTAGCTTCTTATAATCTAATATCTAAATAATCACACTGTAATAAGTGCATAGAACTGCTGATATTTATATATTTTTAATGGATTTGAATCACTTTCAGCTCTGTGCAGTTACTGAAAATGTAGCTCAGCTAGTTTTTTTTTTATTTCAAAAACTGAGATACAGCTTTTGCAAAGTGTAAGAAAGATGAAAAGATTATTTACAGTGATCAAATTTCAAAGCTGGAAAATGTGAGTGTTTCAATTATTCCCCATTTATTGAACAGTATTATACTCTCCATTTGATAACTGATCAAGACGTGAAATAATTATATCCAACATTGTTATGACTGGTGTTTATTTTAAAGCAGATCTCAGTCCTCCATCATGTCCAGTTTCTGCTGTGAGAGAAATAAACAGAACTGATGGAGCCACAGATGGAACAGATCTTCACCAGTATACTTATATTTATCATCAAAATGTGACTAAAACAGAAAAATAAAGACTTAAAAATACCCTGAAAAGTAATAAAGTTTAACACAGTAACACAAAAACACTCAGCAGATTTTATGGCAAAAACCAATGAACATTACACAAATATTCCAACTATTTACTAATTATTCGCTTTTTATTTTAAAAGCGTGTTACTGATTTTATTTAAATGAATGTTAGCAAAATAAGATTAACCCTGTTTTTCATTCATCAGGACCAGAAACAGCCAACAAAGAAACAAATACAGACACAGAAATACAAGGTAAATTTCTGGATTTACAGTAATGATCTGCTCTGTTTCTGCTCTGAGTGAAATAATCAGAGCTGATGGAGCTGATGTTGTATGTATCAGTGATTTAGTCATTCAACATGAAATGTTTTCCTTTCATTAACAATAAAAAGTAAGAAGAAAACTTATTAGGACTACCATTAAATAATGAATGGTGTTTATTTTAAAGTAGATCTCAGTCCTCCTTCATGTCCAGTTTGTGCTGTGAGAGAAATAAACAGAACTGATGGAGCCACTCAGACCTCAGGTAACAGATCTCAACACTACATCATCATTTAGATATTATATAGATTATGTGACCTATACTATATCAATATACACTGATCAGGCATAACATTATGACCACCTCCTTGTTTCTACACTCATTGTCCATTTTATCAGCTCCACTTACTATATAGGTGCACTTTGTAGTTCTACAGTTACAGACTGTAGTCCATCTGTTTCTCTGCATACTTTGTTAGCCCCCTTTTACCCTGTTCTTCAGTGGTCAGGACCCCCATGGACCCTCACAGAGCAGGTACTATTTGGGTGGTGGATCATTCTCAGCACTGCAGTAACACTGACGTGGTGGTGGTGTGTTAGTGTGTGTTGTGCTGGTCTGAGTGGATCAGACACAGCAGTGCTGCTGGAGTTTTTAAACACCTCAGTGTCACTGCTGGACTGAGAATAGTCCACCAACCAAAAATATCCAGCCAACAGCGTCCTGTGGGCAGCGTCCTGTGACCACTGATGAAGGACTAGAGGATGACCAACACAAACTGTGCAGCAGCAGATGAGCTATCGTCTCTGACTTTACATCTACAAGGTGGACTGACAAGGTAGGAGTGTCTAATATAGTGGACAGAGAGTGGACACAGTGTTTAAAAACTCCAGCAGCACTGCTGTGTCTGATCCACTCGCACCAGCACAACACACACTAACAAACCACCACCGCGTCACTTTAGTGCTGAGAATGATCCACCACCCAAATAATACCTGCTCTGTGAGGGTCCATGGGGGTCCTGACCACTGAAGAACAGGGTAAAAGGGGCTCCTGTAAGTGGAGCTAATAATAAAATGGACAACCAGTGTAGGTACAAGAAGGTGGTTTTAATTTAGTACCACTGGGACAGCATTTTTTGAATAAAGGTTTCATTTAGACGTTAAACTCATGATAAATCTAAACAAAGATCATAACAATCATTGTAAATAGTAAAAAGTCTGAATAATTTAAATAGTGTTTTTACTGTGGGGCTGCAGCTTGAACTAATGCGATGGAATGATTCATATATGTTTTTGTCAGTCCTCATTCAAATGGGAGGCAGCATGGTGGCATAATTGGTAGCTCTGTCGCCTCACAGCAATAAGGTATCAGATCCAAAAGAAAATTAGTGGTATCACTGATCACTGTTGTGTGCCTATTGGGTTCCTTTATTATTAGTGAACAAGTTATCCTTACATTACACTTAATTAGCTGTTCATGAAGAAGTGGATCTGTTAAATTGCAAAAGATCACACAATAATAGCGGTATTCAAATGTATTGAGTTTTCCATATTTTCATTACATTTCTGCTTACTTGACTTACAGCCTTTTCAGATAATAACGGACAGAATACTCTGTTTATAGACTTTAAGCACGCAATATATGTTGAAATTAAAAACATTAGGCTACATTTTGGAAAGTGGTGCAGTGATTCCACATGACATGAATATATCCACTATAAACGGACAGACTCTTAAAAAGGATGGTTCTTCAGGGGTTCTTTATTAAGGACATTGGGCCTAATTAGAACCATTAACACTCAAAGAACCATTTACATGCTTAAATTATTTTGTGCCCTTTGGTGATTTGAATTTGAAGAGCATGTAAAAGAATGTAAATGTATTACCATTATGAATTCAACAATGGAGTAAAAGTTATTTGTGCTTATATGAAGTTGAGCATGTCATTTTTTTAAAGGAGATCTCAATCGTCTAGCAAGTCCAGTGAGAGAAATGAACATAACCAATGAAACAACTCCAACCTCAGGTAACAGTGTTTATTAAAAATGAAACTCACATGTAGTTCTTTATTTCAAATCTACAACACATCTTTTTACACGTGTCACATAGGAGATCCCCCCAAAAGGTCATACAATGTTCAGTATTCAGTATTCTAATTATGGTCCAGTTTTTGAGCTACTAAAGCATCCAAAACCATAACAGAAAGTGTGTATGCACATATTTATCCATGACTGTCAGATTTTAAAGCAGAGTTCAATCCTCCATCAAGTCCAGATTCTGCTCTGAGACAAATAAACAGAGCTGATGGAAACACTGAAACCTCAGGTATCACCATCCAATGCACCATCATATATAGTCCATATCATTATGTAGACACCAAAATATGGCCAAAATACTTTAAACAAAGAAAGCAGAAATGTAATAAACTGCAGATGCTGCCATAATAACTATACATTGATGTTAGTGTTATTTTGTATATGGTGTATTTCAAGATAACATTAAACCTGTTTTTCCTTCAGCAGATCCAGAAACAGCTAAAACAGAAACAAGTCCAGATAAAGATAAACAAGGTATATTTACACAGTCTGGATTTACAGTCTTTGACAAAGTGTGGTTGATATTGCTTGTTTGGTCTACAAAGCTGCACAGTTAGCATGGCTAATTCATAGTTTAAGCAGTATGTTTTAATGATGTAATACACAAATATCATACTGTAACAAGTGCATGTAAGTGCAGAGATTTATACATTTTTTTTCATGGAACTGAATCCGTTTCAGTTACATGCATTTACTAAAAACGTAGCTCAGGTAGTTTTGCAAGTGTACAAAAGGACGAAAGAGGAGAAGAAAATGATAATAAATAACATAATGGCAACTTTTCCATTTTGGAAAATTAAGTATTCCATTTAAGGTCAAATTATTAAATAGTAAATACTCCCAACACAACAGCTGATAAAGTATGAAATGATCAGATTTAACACTAAGTTGTCATGTTTATTTTAAAGAAGAGTTCAGTCCTCCATCATGTCCAGTTTGTGCTGGGAGAGAAATAAACAGAGCTGATGGAGCCACTCAGACCTCAGGTAACAGATCTCAACCAGTACATCATCATATATTTGTGCCGAGTGCTGTAGATCATCACAGCCGTGATGTTATTTGCGATAACATACAACCTTAAATGTTCTATTGATTTTATACAACAGTTAAATAAATAAAGTAATAAATTAATAAACTGGGCCGTGAACGCGGCGTTTAATATGTTTTAATCTTGGAGATCCTTCCCCAAATTATAGGTCCTTAACAAGCAGCTTGTTGCTACGTCAGAGTAACGAGCTCCGCCCACTCGCTGCACAGCCAGCAGTTCGTTCTCCAGCTCCTTATACTAAATTCCCTAACTGTCATCACCACTGAGCAGCTTTTCAGTCGGCAGCTGTGACAGAAGAACAGCTAAACAACCTGGAATCAGCCAGAAATGAACCCAACACCATTCGCCAAACAACATGGGCTGTAAGATGCTTTACAGACTGGCTGGAACAAAACAACATTAATACTGATCTGGCAAAAAAATGACAAAACTGAGCTAAACTTGATATTGCGGTAGTTTTATGGCTCAGTCTGATTTGGTCAGACTCTGAAGATCAGACTACACGTTTGGCGGATGGTATTAGTAGTCTCATCTTTGGTCAGAGTAAGGACCAAATCGGCTGTCGGTCAAATGTGATCTTAAAAGTATCCATTTTCTGTTTCTGTGCAAAGAAAGAAGTAAAAAAGTTCAAATAACTTGAGCGTCTCCTACAGCTGTCAGCTTAGCAACGGTGTCTCAGCAGAGTGATACAGCGTTCGTGAAAAAACCGTGCTGTTATGGTGAAATAACAGCACGGTTAGAACGCTTCTCGACCAATCAGCTAGCGTGGCCAGAACTAACTGATGTATAATTCAAAGCATGATTATAACACAAAAGACTGAAAATTAGTCAATTTGAAGTTGGGCTAATGAAACAGTATCACAGAAACACAACACTACATATGTTATGGCAAAAAACAAAGAAGCAAGTCCACAAAAAAAAATCCAAGGTAAATTTGCACAGTCTGCAATTACGATAATGATCTGCTGTGTTTTTGCTCTGAGAGAAAAAAAACAAAGCTGATGGAGCTGATGTTGTATGTTCCAGTAATTTAGTCATTCAGAAGAAAATGTTTTCTATTCAATAACACAGTAAAAAGCAAGACAAAACTTTAATTAAGAAGTAAGAATAAAATTGAATAATGAATGTTGTTAATTTTAAAGCAGATTTCAACTCTACATCATGTCCAGTTTGTGCTGTGAGAGAAATAAACAAAACAGATAGAGCCACTCAGACCTCAGGTAACAGATCTCAAACACATCATCATTTAGGTTTTAGATAGATCATAGAGATATAATATAGATCATATGACCTGAACTATTTCAAAAATCATGGAGAAGATGGTAACTATAGTTATGATTATGAATAGAATGAGAGAAATAAAAAAAGCTGATGTAGCCACTCAAACCCCAAGATACAGTTTTCAGATAATGTACCAGAATGAATCAGTTTCAGTTTCATATACTTACTGAAAATATAGCTCTGCTAGTTTTCTTTATTTCAGAACATGTGATGCAAGCTTTTGCAAATGTAAAACAGAAGAGAAGTAAGACAGATGGTATTTTCCTGGTGGAAAATTTTAAAAAAGTATTCCAATTATTGAAGAACAAGAACCGAGTATGAAATAATCAGATCGAACACTAAGCTATGAATGGTATTTACTTTCAAGGAGAGTTTAATCCTCCATCAAGTCCAGTTTCTGCTGTGAAAGGAATGAACAGAACTGATGGAACCACTCAGACAGACTCAGGTGACAGTTCTTCTCCAGTACACCATCATATAACTGTCATCAAAACATGGCTACAATACAAATAAAGCAGAAGGCTAAATTTAAACTTAGGTTACTGATACAGTAACAAACACATCACACTGTTACGACAGAAAGCAGTGAACTTCACATAAATATTCCATTTATTTTCTAATTATTCTTTTACAGACAGTGTTTTACAGACTGTATTTAAAAGAATGTTTACTTCATAAGATTATGCCTGTTTTCCTTTGGCAGGTCCAGAAACAGGTGACAAAGAAACAAATAAGGATAAAGAAGTACAAGGTAACCTGCTCAAATCTTCCATTTTTACTCATTATTGATCATTTTAAACAATTCTCCAATGCAGTTTTATGGTTAATAAAAGAGTAGTATTTAAATACTAGTTATGTTAGCAAATACGATTAACCATATTTTCGTTTCAGCAGGTCCAGAAACAGAGAGCAAACAAAGAAGCAAGGATGAAGAAATGCGCGGTAATTTTCCACAATCTGGATTCACACAAGTCCCACATTATTATCCGACACATTTCAACTGTCTGAAAAGGTCATATTTATAGTAATAACACTGCCATAAAGGATGAACGCAGTATTCTAATATGGTCTAATTTTTTTAGTCATTCGGCAGTAAAATCACCCATAAACCATGTGGCTTCTTGCACTTTAGGCTGATGAAAGTGTCCAAACCAAGCATGTTGCGTGTATGGTAAAGAGGGGGAAAAATAAAACAGAAGTAAAGCAGTATATGTGTGGATTTGCTTTGACACAGTAAGGTACAATTGACTCATCTGGTCACACTGGGAACACTTTTTAGTGAAAAGTGTAAATATAATCCATCCAAAGTTTATCCAGATCCAATCATGAAAAATAACATGAAGTGTAAACAAGCTCATTGTGCCACAGAAGATTGATGAGCGTCACATAGAAGGGAGGATTGAATCTGTTTTGAAAATATGTAAAATATTCTAGTTAGAGGCTTTCAGCAGTAAATTTAGAAATAAATTAAATAAATAAGAAATTGTTAGGGCCAACAGTAAGTTATGAATATTTACTTTAAAGGAGAGTTCATTCTCCTTCAAGTGTGTTCTGAGAGAAATACACAGCCACTTAAACTCCAGAAATATGGTTTTCAGATAACACACAACAATACAAGTATTACTGATACCAAAACATGGCTACTACACAAAAAATACAAGAATTAAAACATACACCGAAAGTACTAAATTACATATGCAAGTAAGCTGATCCTGAACACTGAGTTATGGCAAAGAACTCTGCACATATATGCCCAGTCTTTGCTGATTATTAGTCATTTAAATGATTTACACATTTTAACTTTTAGTAACATTACATTACATTTATTTTCTTTGATCAGGTCCAGCAACAGCCAACAAAGGAACAAGTAAAGGTCAAGAGCTACAAGGTACATTTTTGAAATCTGCATACACACAAATCCAATTTTAACATTTGACAAATTCCAAGCATAAAGAAGAAAAAGCACATCAAAAGATCATATGTGTACTAGTAACACTGTCTGAGCCAATGATTTAGTTATTCAGCAGTTATTAGGGCTAACAGTAAGTTATGGAGAATGTTTAATCCCTTTAAATCCAGGGCTTATTACATCCTACAGCGTATTAGTCAGTAACTGCATTGACTACAATACAAACTGAGTGAGTTATAGGAGTGATGAATGGAAGCCTGGACTTCGGCAGCTGCAGCTGCAGGCCATTTAAAATGTTAAAAGAATGGCTTTTTCTTTAAAGTTCAAAGCTCCATCAAGTCAAGAAATTAGACTGAAGTGTCACCACCTAGTGCATTGTTGTGTAATTCTTTAGTCATTTATCAGTCATGTTGATAAGGCTTGTTCAGATTTCTTGAGTTTTTAAATTTGAATCTTAGTCACACTCACTGTGGGCAAGAGAACATTAACATTTTATTTTCTTTTAATCAGCCTCAGCAAAAAGTGGCAACAAAACAATTACAGACCCAGAAAAACCAGGTAAATGTCCTCATGTACACATTTTCACTGGTAAGACACATTTATAGTAGGGGTGGGAATCTCTAAGCACCTTAAAATTTGATTCGATTACGATTCAGAGGCTGCGATGCGATTATAAAACGATTATCGATGCATCTTTTTTTTGTATACAGCATTTCTATTTTCTCACTGTCTGAGGACTTAGTACTTTTAACGCAAAGTATTTGTAATGATCCATAATGAATTTACTTCTAATATCTTTTATTAAAAAAATTAAACGGAAGTGATGTGGCAAGTGAACTGGAAGACTCTCATTCACTGCTCTTGTTTGGAGCACATGAGACGCTGCTGCCACTCATCTGTGATAAAATGCTCAGTTATGGTGAAATAAGATCCAGTGGTAGTGGATGTCCACGCAGCGCGTTACAGCTATTCTACCTGTTTTCTTTTTTTGTGATTTTATAACTTCGTTTTTGGTCTCGTTGTAGAGTGTGTGGGGGGTCGCTGTGTCAGTAAAATATCTTCGAGACAGGACACTGTATCTTGGCTCCAAAGTGGGCAACATAGCGCAAAAGCCTGGTTTTCAAAGACTGAGTACAGACGCAAATCCTTGGCAATAAAAGTTGCGATAGAGTCTGTAATTCGCTTTGCCCTTCCCGAGTTGGGTGGAAGTTTTGACATCACTTGCTTGATGGTCCTCTGGTTGGCAGCCTGGGTGGAAAATGGGTGTAATATGGTTTCTCATGTTTATCGTTTCCAAAGTATTTTAGTGTGACACTACCTGCATGTAGCACGGCTCTCGTCCAGGTCCTTTTCCCTTCAACTTCATAGAAGCCAAAGTGCTTCCATACGCTAGCTCAGGGGTCGGCAACATACGGCTCTATTACTGTTGCGGCTCCACAGCAGAATCAGATTTGTAGGTAAAAATAAAATAATCCTCCTTTGCAGTAAAATAAAGCTCTGCTGATCGTTCAACACAGTTTAACAATAAATCTTAAACGCTGGTAATTCAACACCCTATAACTCTGAAGTTTATATGAACGTGCAGACTGCAGCTCACATAGCAATTCAGACAATCTCGCCTAGCTAGTAGCTAACGCTAAAGCAAAGAGAGAGATTTAACGTGAACTTTTGGAGACAAATGGACTTATATGCCTTTGTAAGCACCCCAGCTGGTTTCCTGATACGTTTAATCTGCAACGAGAAACTGTCACTAAAATGTTGCAAAGCTGAAGTCAGTTTCTCTTTCGAATTTCCCCGTTCCACCAATGGTGCAGCAGTTAAATTCTGGCGCCTCAGGCACTATTTAAGGTGGAATGCGAAAATTCGAACAACAAGCTGGTGAATAAGATGACTTCACCCTCGTAAAACAGTCGAATGCTGAGAGATGCTTCTTTTACAAGAAACTGTTCTACTGTTGAAGAAAAGTGTCCTGTCAGGGATGAGAGGAAAGTGGCTATAGCTGATCAAATGTTTAAACAGAGTAAAGTCTGTGTTTCCGTTTATACTAGGACATCAGCACATACTGAGACGTATTGGACATTAAATGTTGTGGCTCCTCCCTAGGTGGGTTGATTTTTGTTGAAAGGACAAAATGGCTCTTCTTAACTTTTGGGTTGCCGACCCCTGACCTAGCTTTGAATGCAGAGGGTGTCTTGTATACGACAACTGGATACTCATCCTGTAGTGGTTTTGTTATGTGCTGCCACAGACTCTCTGGATGCTGCACTTCTGCACTTCTAAGTTCCGCCTTTTGCGTTCCATCAACATTACGTTATAAATTAAACATTTAGAAAATTGATTTTTGACATTTGTGAATCGATTCAGAATCGTCTGCATCACGATGCATCTAAGAATCGATTTTTCTCCCCACCCCTAATTTATAGCAGACATTTTTCATATCTGCTCTTTCAAACTGTGTCCCTGTTTCTCTCTTTACTCTTTTATACAGACTGGGAAGAAATATTTGCACGCAAAGGTAAAAGAAAACTAACATTCACCCCCCCCACCATGCCCCACATTGGGCTCCCCCCTCTCAAACACCAGTTTTAATGTTAAAGTAAAAGTAATTTAATGTTATTATTAGAGATGTAAAGTACATTACTAATATCACATCATTTAAATAGTCAGTAAACAAGTGCCCACAGATTTTGTAATATGAATAATGACTACTCCTCTTTATTTTCTGAATCTGCCTTGATTTCTTTTTATAAGTTTCTTATAAGCTATTTTTTAGTTTCTTATTTGAGTTTACATAGTTAAGTTATTTATTTGATGTTTTTTTTTTTTCCAGTGGCCATCAAGCCTTATTCATCACCCACTGTCCTGGGTGTCCTGTTTAAAGAGAGAATGTGTTCAGGACAGTATTACTGGGAGGTGACTGGACTGACAGCATTAGCAGCAACACCTACTGCAAGTTTAAAAAAGCCAAGTGAATGTCCAACATCTTGGCATATAGGGGTAACCAATCAACAACCAGAGATGATAAAAGAAGTTGCTTTAACTCCACAGAACGGCTGCTGGGTTCTTCACTATGAGAGAGAGAAAGGTTACTATGTTAATGATCCCTCTCAGACTTCTGTTCTAGTGAGAGATCGGTTCTCAAAGCTGGGAGTGTTTTTAGACTGTGATAAACAAACACTGTCTTTTTACAACTGTGATAAAAGCTCACATCTCTACACTTTCTATAATGTACATTCAACAACACCTCTGATTCCAGTTATACATCCCGGACTCAAACCTCGATATACACTTGAAATATCTCAAATGAAGTGTGTGAAATGTGATGAACTTTATCCACAGCATTAACAGACTAACTGAGTTCTGATCCAAGATCAGTTCCTGTATCTGTACTGTTTAATAACATTGACAAGAATTACAGTTGAAAAATGTAATTATTCCTGCACTGAAAATGTCACATTTGTAACAACACGTGAACTATGAATTTTATGATTAATGTTGTTTTTAAATATAAGTAATGACTCCAGGTCAAACTTTTTTTTTTTATTGTTTTTGATAAACTGCGCATTGTTATGTTTGTTGTTAACGTCATGCAATGAATGTAAAAATGACAGTCCGGTTATGTATTAATCATAGCACTGTGTCCTTTTTTCATTCCTCTCTCAACACATCTATGATTAGAAGAAATGACAGTAAAGCTGACTTTGACTTTGATTTACTAAAGTGTCCATATAAAGACTCTCAGAGGAAAAGAACGTCAGAAATCATGAGAGCACAAATGTTATGATAATGTTTTCTTATTAGTAAAAAACAGCAGTTTGTTTCACCACCTGAACATCTCAGAGTCCGTCTTTATGTATTAAAACTGTTTGCAGTTCTTTCACAGACATTATTGAGTCTGTGTTTGCCTGCTGAGTCCATAGACAGCTTTCAATACAACAAACTCTACAGCCAGGAAATATGATTGATAAGTCTGTAATGTTTGCTCAGGTGATAATCTAACCATTAGAAGCCATTTAAAAATGGATATTTTGTACTTTTGTATTTATTCATTATTCTGTATTAATGTGTGTTGTTTTGCACTTTCTGTTATAAAACAGAACCACCATCTAGTGGCCAATATTTCATATTTATATCTTTATTTAAACAACCAACACAATCTTTACTGATTCAGCCTTCATTAGTGTGAGGTGGATTAGAGGAGCTCTGTCTCTGAGAGAGCACTGAGCTGAAGGCAGTAATGCTAATTCAGTCCAGAATTATGACTGTCAGACTGTAAAAACTACACACAGTGCAGATTCATACTGGATTATAATCACAGATCACTAATCAGTTAAAGTACAGAACTTCACCAGAATAAAACCATCCAGCTCTAAAGGACTTAAACCAACCAGATAACTGGGGTTAGCATTAGCTAGCTAGCGGGTTTATTTCAGTGATAATGTTATTGTATTTATCACTGCACAGTTCAGTAAGACTGAGCCAACACTTGGTGGTGGTGAACTTTTATAACTTTTATTAGTTCAATTAAACTACTGTAACCAGCTTTCTGCTTCATTCAGGAGTTTGTTTATTGAGGTAAAGCAGGAACCACTGAATGAACCAGAATGGAAGGTTATTGTGGGTAAATGCACACAAATGTTTTCTTGATTTCTGATAATTTCTACCTTAAATCAATAAAATTGATTAACAAAGCTCCGTAGGTCGTCACTAGTTTCCAGTTCAGGTGTTACACATTGTTCAATAACCATTTTTGCAGTTAGTATTGACAATGCAAATAATGCATCAATACAATTGTAAAACATTTTTGGAAAAAGTCTTAGGACCGCCCTCTCCCCCTGGAGGAGGGTCTCTGATACAGCCCAGCCTGGATAGAAAACATAGCAGTTTCTATCATGTAGTAGCCAGTAATTTACTGTAAATTTACAGTCCAGTGCTGTAGACTATAATGTTAGTATAACATTAGTATATAATAGCCTCCCTGTAATCAGAAACAAGGGTTCTGGTGGTTTTATTAAGGTGTTTGATGGTTAATAATGCTATTTTGTGTTTTGTTGGTGTGTTGATCACAGTATAAAGAATATAATTATTCTTAGCTTAAAGCTGGTTTTGGTTTAAGCCCAAACAAAAAAGACTAACAAGCATTAAATCAACTTGTAGCTTCCCAGATTGTCCACTGTTTCATTTGCATGCATATTTATTTGTTATTTATTACTGTACTATTACAGTTACATGTACAGAGAGGAACAAATTAAAAGAAAAGCCTGAATAAATGAGTGGAAAAACATAACGAGTGCAGGTGCTTCCAGACAGGAGTACTGCATCATACTTATATATACTCATATATAGTCATACATAATTAAACTACATACTGATGTCCTACCTGCTCTGTGGTGTGTGTATAAATGCTGAGCTCAATTTTGGATCAAGAGAAGAAGAGCATTCATTATTGGGGTGCAGATGGCAGAATAAAATATTGAAATTGTCAAAATTGTGTTGTTATTGCTGTTTTTCCTTTCTATGTACTTTCATGTTTGAATATATCATTCATTTATTTTCTGTGTGCACTGATTACTGTTTAATAGGAACAGTGAATAAAGTAATTTCTGCATTTGGATCTGTGGGAAATAAAACTTTACTGGTAAATAAGGTTGGTTGATAGGGTCCATTCAGTGACTGTGGTGCTCGTGCATCAGTGATATCTAAGTAAAAACAGAAGAGCAGCTGCTCCTCTTGACTGAGATTGTCAGTGTGAACTCCACTTCAGGCATTTTTTAGACTCAGGTTACCACTGATAAGAAACTGAACAGATAAAGTTGACTATCCTGTCCAGTTTATCCAGTTTTGAATTTCTCCTAAACTCGGACTCTCTGTTCATGTCTTGTTGGGCCTTTTCCGGACGTTTCCAGTGAGCTGGTGAGGTTGAAGATCTCAGCAGCTCCGGATCTAAAACTCATTAAAAGCTGAACACTGGAACACTGTAGTGTCTGAAACAGAGCTGGTTAAAGCTGTCAGTGATCTCAGTGGTCAGTGAGCAGGTGGATTCTGGATCTGTAGATCAACCTGAAGCTCTTCATACTCAATTACGCCTCCGTGGCTCCACATGAAGGTAGGCTGTGATTTTATTTTAACTCTTACTTTAATTAAGACCCTGGTGAACAGATGTACGAGCCAAAATATTACTAGAAAGAAACATGCCTTTCACCTCACAGGAGCAACCCACAAGCAGCCTAGAGTGCAGTAATGAATAAAGAGGGGTTGTAGGGATGGAGGATAGTGTTGGGGTTCCATTTGAAACACAATCGTGTTCCGGGGGTGGATGTCGAGAGAATTCCCTGTTACATCGCGTCCCAGGGGGGAGGATGTTGCGATTTATCCCCGTTACAAGCAATCGCATTCCGGGGGGGCACTTAACGTAGCACCCAACTACATTTGTAATATATAGGCTAGCCCTGGGGCTTTTCAAGTGAACAGGCGAATATTTTAGGTAGGTATAGTTGTGGGTGCTCTGGTGGAAGGCATGATTCTTTCCACATTAACGTTTGCCTGATTAACGATAATTTCCTGGCCTGTGAGGTTCACTGCATTTCTCCACAGTGAAACAGTGAATGAAAACAGTATTAAATACGGCAGCCGGTATAATTGTGGCTCGTATATCCGTTTGCCAGGCTGTTAATTATCCCCTCACTATTCAGGATTACTGCCACTGGATTTCGTGCAGACTCAGTCATAGCAAGTCATAGTGTCGCACTGCTGGGCAACCGTCTGGGATAATATCACACATCGAAAAAACAAGATGGCACTAGTGCCTTGATGACATCACATTTCAGTTAAAATTCTCAAGTTTCATTTCATATATTCAGAGTTTCATTCCATATTCTGAATTTTCATTCCATATATTAAGAGTATCATTCCATATTCCCATGTTTCATTCCATATTCTCATGTTTCATTCCATATATTAAGAGTGTCATTCCGTATTCTCATGTTTCATTCCATATATTCATGGAATTTTTACTGGTAAATAAGGTTGGTTGACAGTGTCCATTCAGTGACTGTGGTGCTCGTGCATCAGTGATATCTAAGTAAAAACAGAAGAGCAGCTGCTCCTCTTGACTGAGATTGTCAGTGTGAACTCCACTTCAGGCATTTTTTAGACTCAGGTTACCACTGATAAGAATCTGAACAGATAAAGTTGACTATCCTGTCCAGTTTATCCAGTTTTGAATTTCTCCTAAACTCGGACTCTCTGTTCATGTCTTGTTGGGCCTTTTCCGGACGTTTCCAGTGAGCTGGTGAGGTTGAAGATCTCAGCAGCTCCGGATCTAAAACTCATTAAAAGCTGAACACTGGAACACTGTAGTGTCTGAAACAGAGCTGGTTAAAGCTGTCAGTGATCTCAGTGGTCAGTGAGCAGGTGGATTCTGGATCTGTAGATCAACCTGAAGCTCTTCATACTCAATTACGCCTCCGTGGCTCCACATGAAGGTAGGCTGTGATTTTATTTTAACTCTTTTCAAGTGAACAGGCGAATATTTTAGGTAGGTATAGTTGTGGGTGCTCTGGTGGAAGGCATGATTCTTTCCACATTAACGTTTGCCTGATTAACGATAATTTCCTGGCCTGTGAGGTTCACTGCATTTCTCCACAGTGAAACAGTGAATGAAAACAGTATTAAATACGGCAGCCGGTATAATTGTGGCTCGTATATCCGTTTGCCAGGCTGTTAATTATCCCCTCACTATTCAGGATTACTGCCACTGGATTTCGTGCAGACTCAGTCATAGCAAGTCATAGTGTCGCACTGCTGGGCAACCGTCTGGGATAATATCACACATCGAAAAAACAAGATGGCACTAGTGCCTTGATGACATCACATTTCAGTTAAAATTCTCAAGTTTCATTTCATATATTCAGAGTTTCATTCCATATTCTGAATTTTCATTCCATATATTAAGAGTATCATTCCATATTCTCATGTTTCATTCCATATATTAAGAGTGTCATTCCGTATTCTCATGTTTCATTCCATATATTCATGGAATTTTTACTGGTAAATAAGGTTGGTTGACAGTGTCCATTCAGTGACTGTGGTGCTCGTGCATCAGTGATATCTAAGTAAAAACAGAAGAGCAGCTGCTCCTCTTGACTGAGATTGTCAGTGTGAACTCCACTTCAGGCATTTTTTAGACTCAGGTTACCACTGATAAGAATCTGAACAGATAAAGTTGACTATCCTGTCCAGTTTATCCAGTTTTGAATTTCTCCTAAACTTGGACTCTCTGTTCATGTCTTGTTGGGCCTTTTCCGGACGTTTCCAGTGAGCTGGTGAGGTTGAAGATCTCAGCAGCTCCGGATCTAAAACTCATTAAAAGCTGAACACTGGAACACTGTAGTGTCTGAAACAGAGCTGGTTAAAGCTGTCAGTGATCTCAGTGGTCAGTGAGCAGGTGGATTCTGGATCTGTAGATCAACCTGAAGCTCTTCATACTCAATTACGCCTCCGTGGCTCCACATGAAGGTAGGCTGTGATTTTATTTTAACTCTTTTCAAGTGAACAGGCGAATATTTTAGGTAGGTATAGTTGTGGGTGCTCTGGTGGAAGGCATGATTCTTTCCACATTAACGTTTGCCTGATTAACGATAATTTCCTGGCCTGTGAGGTTCACTGCATTTCTCCACAGTGAAACAGTGAATG